CCCAGCCATTAAAGACAGAGAGCTAAAGTTACCATATCTTTCCCTCCAAAGTGTAAAAGCAGATGAGAACTAGGTTGTTTTTCAAAACTGGCAGGAAAGGAATTACATAAGCTCCCATTGCCAATGCTTCAATGAGATTTGAGGTGCTTTTCAATTCCTTTACAAAAGCTGTCAAGAAACCAATAACATTCTTCCTGGAATCTATTCTTTGATTCCTAGTACATGGTCTACAATTTCTAACTGGTTCTCAAACTGCATGACTTATACATTTCACTATGAGTCAGTGAACCATCTTTTTAAAAATACATTGGACAATAACCTATAAGTAATTTGGAGCAATTTACACCATCACTAAATATATGTAAAATGAATGAGCATGAGAATGCACATAGACGTTTCATTGTGTAACTGATTAAAACAGTGCTAACTCCTCACGTGGCTGTCTAGCGAGAGAGAGGGAGGAAGATTAACTTCCCCATTTTTCCTTTCTTGAAAGGTTTCCTTAAAATATATATGCTGTTCACAAAAAGGAGTAAAAAGGACTTCTAGTGCATAATAATTTCTCCCCTAAATCTGTGTGCATATGTTAAAAGCTCTGTGAAGCCTCAATAGGTTTTTGATTTGTTATTTTTATGAACAAGCTTGGGTACATTATCTCCTAAGACAATCTAGCAGCTGTTAAATGTTTGCCTTTACGATTCAAAGAGCTTCAGCTGTAGAATGCAGACATTTGGCTTCTTCTCTCCCCCCCCCCCCCATGTGCCAAGGCTAAGCACTGCTAGTCAAAAGAAAAACCCAAGGCATTTGCTTTCTCAAGAGAAGAGAAAGACAGTGAATAGTTGCAAAGAGTATAAACCACTAATCTTGCAAAAGGGATATTACATGTACCAAGGGGAGTATAGTATAAAGCAGAGGTCATTGCATCCTGTTATCTAGGGATTTGGGTTGTCCTACTCCCTTAGGCAAAATAAAGGAGAAGGGGATAAAAGGGAACAAGATAGATAAACATTTTGCAAATGACAACATGAAGGGGAGTGGTTGCCCTTCAAAGCAGAATACACTTGGCTAAAACTCAGACCAACTTCCACGTGTGCCAAGAGTGCTAAATGAAAGCCTTCAGGAGGTTCTGAAGTAAAGATAATTTTAGGTGGTATATACAGAACATTTTTTGGTAAATGTATCCATCAATCATATGCTGGATAATGACATGTACTAAGGAGTTTCAAAAGAAGATCAGCATGTGCTTTATAGACTATAGCAAAGCATTTGATTGCCAGATCATGAAAAACTATGAATTGCTCCTAAAGAAATGGGTATGCCACAACATTTAATTGTCCTGTTGTGTAATCTGTATTCTGGAGAAGAATTCTATGAGGACAGAATTCTGGAGGCCTCAAGTAGTGGTGTCTTTGCTTTTAAACAGATCACAGGAGCCCAAAATTCTCTCCTTCCAGAATCACTGAAATCACCTCCAGATTCCCCCTTGTATTAGAGCTTATTGTGGCCCATGGTGGGTCTTGGAAAATTGCTCTCCTGGACTCTCCAAAGCCCACACCACCCTTTTTGGTGGGTATCAGTCACCTGCCCCCAGGTATCTGGAAAGAACATTAGGAGAGCCATGCTGAATCAGACCAAATGCACATGAGGTCCAGAGTCTTGTTTTCCAAAATATCCAGCCAGATGTCTATGGGAAGCCAACATGCAGAATATGAAAGCAATAGCACTCTGCAGTAATTGTTCCCTCTAGATGTTAAGGTGTGCATCTATTTATATATAACCATTATAGCTATTTTTATATAGCCATTACTAGCAGCCACAGATGTCTTATTTGTCATGAACTTTTCTAATCCCTTTGACGCCACCTAAGTCAGAGGATATCGCTACATCTTGTGGCAGTGAATTCTATAGTATAATGATATATCGGGTAGTGCCCTTTGTCTTCCCTCTTAGGAATAAACTTCACTGAATGAAGTGTAATATGTGTGTGTGCGGGGGGGGGGGGGGGGAAGCAACATTGAAATGGTCCTGCTATGAACATTTGTATCTCCTGGATTATTCCTGATAGAATTGCATAATGGTCACTTCACATTTATTTTGGCTTTTTAAAAAGAAATATGATAGTTTTGAATAAAGCGGCTTCTTCACAAAAACTATGTAACATTGATGAAGGGTATGCAACTGTGCATCTGGTTCTTTCAAAGAACCAAAGTATAGTGTTGAATCCTAGCATTTATAAGATTTTTTTAAAAAAATATATAGCCTCTGTGTTTCTGAGGTAATTCTACAGTACATAAAGTACAGTGTTTCTTCAGTTGCCATGGCAAAATTTCATTTTCACCCTCCTTTCCATTAAAGAGCAAGTTGTTTCTAAAAGCTTGTGTTAATTGCTGCCACGCATTACAAGAAGCTAAGTAATTTCTCTGAAGATAAAGTTCTCTCAACCTGCAATAAATGAAATCCTTTCAGACCCAAACCCAGAAATCAAGAAGCAAGAGTCAATTGCTTTGTTCCAAATGAGGAATATTTATTAATTTGACAAAGGGGGAAACTGCATATTCAGACATTCAACTTGCTAACTAATTAATTTTCTTCTCATAGGGCAGGTTCTTCAAGGATAAGTGAAGGAACCGTATTGGTATTCCTTCAGGTTCTTCTGAGTGAGCTTCCCTGACTAGACTGTCTCCTACCAGTCATCTTTCACAGCCTCTTTACTTTGGTGCAAAAAGTATGCCACCATATTCCTGCATAGTTCCCAGGGCCATCCCAAGATATTTGCTGCTGAGGCCAAAGAGAAAATAGTGCCAACCCTTGCCAGTCCACATAGAGATCACAACTAGACTGGTAGCTGAATATTGCTTCAGTTTTACTTCCTCTACCACACCCAAGGGCAGAAGTCTAATGTAATGGGTGCATGACAAGCTGTGAAACCCACACACTTCTATTCACTAAGAAAGGTCAATGGCCATAGGTTTCAGCCATTGCTGCCAACCCTCAACTTGAAGTAATTGCTTCACACTGCCTAATGGCAATAACTGGAGTTGATCGGCCCTATGGCTTTGTGAAGATCTGCCTGGCATAGGATTCTTGGATGGGATCTTTTACCCAGGTCCTCAAGGTGAGAGGGAGAAATCTCAGCATGAGCACTGCCTTGAAAAGTATGTGCAAATATATTTTCCTCATTATTTGCACTTGGTGACTCGTATTTGAATGGCACAAGGCACACTTACATGGGCCAAATAAAACATTCTCACCTAGGACTTTATCACATGGGTAAAATCCCATACAGAAACAGGATTTAAAAGGTGGTGAAAACCCACAAAAGTGGGTAGATTTTCACACACACCGATGTTAAACTGTGCTTAACCCAAATGGAAAGTAGTCAAAAGCTGCTTCTTTTTACTATCAGGATTTTCCAAAAGTAAAAATAAGCGGCTTTTGACTACTTTCCCTTCAGGTTAAGCACAGTTTAACATCGACGTCATGTGAAAATCTACCCGCTTTTGTGTTTTTTTTTCTATTTAAATACTATTTCTGTATGGGATTGTCCCTGTGTGATAAAGTCCCTAATTTGCAAAGCAAGCTGTCTAAACAACATATAGGATGATTGCGGCTGAAGCTGGCCTTTTCATTGCCTGAGGACTTTGATGGGGGGGGGGG